CTTCTGTGTGCGAGCTGACACTTCATCCGTGATGCGTCCATCGGGTGAGATTTAGTTGCCTAAATAACAAAACTTATCCACTTGCTCTATTACTTTCCCAGTTAGAGTGAGGCCCGGTGCTGGACCGACCCAGTCTTGTAGTAACATTTTGCAATTTGAAGGTGCAAAACGCCTACCGAACATGACTACACTGGCATTCAAACTGTCAAAAAAGCTGGCAACTTACCTGTCTCTTCACTTAGTAGCACAATGTCGTTTGCATACTCTAGATCAGACAGTNAGAACAGGAGAGAGAGAGAGAGCAATCCTGATGAACACCACTTTCTGTGGTGAACTGGGGCGAGAAAGTGCCGTAAACCCGGACTCGACTTCGGCTATTAGTATAAAGCGATCGTAATATTGAAATAAACTTCTCGGGCACACCCGGGTATATATATATATATATATATGGGGTAAAATGTATATCTGACGTTTAAAACTTAGTAAGTTTATTCACCGCTGTTGAATATTCAAGTGTATAACATTTTTCGAATGCACGCATATTAACTTTCATTTTCAGTTTGAATTCCGAATAAGATAAGCAAGGATAAGTCCACCGGCTAACTATCATGCACATTATAAGAGACTATCTGCTCATCATTGTATCTGCTGTCGCCCTCAAATTGCTGTTCTTATTTGGCTAGTAAGTGCTTTTTAAAAGTTTAACTGCAAGTCGTTCAACTGACTTTGAAGTTCATCGTAACTGGAAGGCTCTTACTTATTCGCTCCCCATTTCCAAGTGGTATTTGGAGGTATAAATTGTTTAATGATTAATGGTGCTTTGTAGTCCACTTCTCAATGGACGCTAGATTATCCGCCTCTGTTTGCTTGGTTCGAACTGGTATTAGCTCAGTTTGGGCGATACGTCGATCCAAAACTATGTGTGATCAGCAAAGAGCCCTACGCTTCTTCACAAACCGTTGCCTACCTTCGAAGTACTGTTATCTTATCAGAAATGCTGCTTTTCTACGGATTATGGAGGTACGTGTTTTCTTTTGCCACACAACTGCTTGCAGGTTATGCAAGGCATTGTCCAATAATTCGTGTTCAATAATGAGACGAAGATTTATCTCAATGGGGGTTTTATTGGCTTTCAACTATGGTCTGATAATTGTGGATCGTATCCTTTTTCCTATCTGCTCTTGTTAAATGATCACGTCTTTTCATTGATTAGAACTTTTCTATTTTTCCCTAATTGTGTTCATTCCCCACAAAACTGCTCCGCTTTTAACCAGAAATTCAATGTAATCTTACTCCTCCTGTTAGAGCAGACAAAGCTCTAAACGGACGTAGAAAATTTGCAATCCATCTCATATCCGATGGACCCAAGCACATTCAATTGTTTGTACCAGTTAGATGGTAATATATTTGTTGCATTATATGCAAAGCTTCAACTTCGTTTTCCAGTTTCCCTTCGTTGCTAGCCACGTAGTTGCTTATGCTGAGGCCAAGTTTAGACCGATGGGTGAACCTGATTTGTCGCTCGGTCCTGTCTATGCTCTTGCTAAATTGGCATATAAGAATTGGTTTCAGTTGTCGAACGATTAGCGGCAAATTTAACCGTCTGTTCTCGATTGTAATCCTATACGGTTTATTCAGATATTCACTTTCAGTACAATGGTTTCCTTCTGGGAATTCTCCTATTGTCGATATCATTTCTGTGCGAAGTAAGCGTACTCGAAATCTAATCAACGGAATTTTCACAGAAAAGATTTGTCGCTGCCTCAGTCGCGTTCACAATTCTGCTCAACATGAAACACATTTTTATTTATGTGGCTCCTGTTTATTTAATCCATATTCTGTTTACTTACTGTCTGGGTAAGTTTCTTGTTTCAAGTAGGGCGAAATTCCTGGCTCTATTCAGAAAGGCGAAATCCGGTTCAGTTCATTTCTCGTCTACTCGCCGTTGGTCTGGCTGTTGTCGGCGTTACTCTTCTGTCGTTTGGGCCATTCATCTACTTGGTATATGCCATCAAGCCACTTCATTTATTCATAATGATCGCTTTTTTCAGGGTCAGTTGCATCAGATTTGGAGTAGACTTTTCCCGTTTGGTCGTGGACTGTGCCATGCGTATTGGGCACCAAATGCTTGGGCGTTGTACAATGCAGTTGATAAACTGCTTATTGTCCTGAGTAAGTGATTCGCATTGCGAAGATTTCATCGTCAGACTAGGTGACTTCTTTCGTAATGTACCATATTTAAAATATACTCTGACCAGCTGCAAACGTTCGGGGTGTAGTTATCAAACCGGACTAGAAAAGAGAAAATAGGCTGACCGACACTGGATTCTTTTCTGTTGTATTTTGGTATGCAGATCATCTTAAGACAAAAAATGTCTCTACCATATTTTTTGCTATAAAATAAAATTAAGAAAACGAGCCGATTATCGTTGTTTACGTAGTTTAGCCCATTTTGGATGGAGCGAACGGGTTAGTAACGTGGAGGTAAGCCGTCGTGTATTTGGGAGTCTATCAGGTATAAACCTGCTAGCACCGAATTCAGATTAGTAGACTTCGCTGGCTAGGGCACTTATTGCGTATGCCCAGCTGTCGTCGGCCGCACCGCGCTTCATTCGCTGTAGCTAATCCGGACTGGAAAAAACCACGTGGAGATCAACAGATGACGTGGAGACGAGGCATGATGAAATGCACAGGGCCATTAGGTAGAGTGGGTGTCTCTCGCCCTCCAGGTTAGGGTCCGAAAGACTCTACAACTGGTTGGTTGGAGACTTTGAAGGATATGATGTTCTTGTTGTCGTTTCTTGCCAGATCAGAATGCTTGAAGCGGTATGTATGCAAAATTCGATTGTGTACTCTGTGTTAACCATAGAGGTTCACCTTCTTCATCCCTCAAAATAGATCCAACCCCTGTCCACCTTAAATTTTACCCCTAACCTTGTATGCATTGCGAGTTTGGCAGCAATCAGTGAAGTTCGCCTCACTGTATTTTGCTGTACGATGACCACTGACTGAAGAGTAAAAGCAACCAATCCTTGGCTTGACTAAAAGGTGTGAAAAGTTTCGCCATGTGGACTGGTTTAAGCTGGTGGTGAGGGTGCAGTTTGAGAGGTTATGACGAGCGTGATTTGGGTTCTGACATCCCGAGTTCGAACCCTGTTTAATTGTGGCGGTGGACGACTACAATCGTCTGAATCAATACGACATCTAAGCGATCGTAGTTCATCACTCAAAGTCCCAGGCCTTGGGTTGACACTTCATAACTGAAAGGTGGAGTTCACTACCACCACTAAGCGCTACTCATTTACTGCGGCTAACTCCTTGGAGAGGGCAGGTCTAATTCATGAAGTCCCGTGATAGTTCGTCACAAAGACAACATCATCCGGCTTTTTGTCGTCCCACCTCTATGCTTTGTTCAACCAATTACATACTGCACAGCAGCAGTGGAATGGTGCCTGTTTGCGGTTGCTTTCTAAGAGCTCATTCGTCATTCGGCGCAACCCAAGGGTCCACGAACTCCCGTTAGTTAGATGGACTTCATTTGTAGTCGGTGTGTCAAGTAGTTGATCTTCTCCGCTCATTAAGACGTCATTATCTACTCATGTCTTATACCATCTCCCGGACGCTTTTGATTCTGTCATCCAGTGTTCACCGCAGAGCAACAAGTTAACCTACGACATCCCTCTGCTGATTGCACGAATCGGGTGTATTTTTCGAATTTCGATCCCCTGATCATCATTACCAAACCACTTCAATGGCTACGTCGCAGCCGAACTAATTACATCATCGAGTTAGGTAGAAATGTGTCACTTTGGAGATGCCATTTGCATTGGTGATATTTATTTGTTCGCTGTTGAATATCATTTCAATTCTGCTGTCTTTACCGCTTACAGAATAGTGATCAATTCAATTGTACCCAGACACCCTGCTAGTACAGACAAACTATATAGTCCTTATTAGAGCCCATTCAATTATCCCAATCTTGTCCCACTGTTCAAAGAATAGTATTTGAAGTTCTTCGTTGATGCAACACAAAATCCCAATTATGCTATGAATAAAAACATTGCATAACACAGATGGAATTTGTGAAACACTGACTATGTAAAGCCACATCAAAAAGCTGTTCCTGTCAAACTTGTTTCATCCAGTCCCCTGTCTGTTGCATAACACAGATCGTAGCTGGATTTTTGGTCCCTTCATTTACTTGAATTTTGAGCTCTACTCCTCGAAGATAAATCATCCCTCTTTTTCTGTATATAGACTCGCAATACCAGTTTGCACCTGGAATATCGTCACAGATAGCATCCATGACTGGTGGTCTGGTCGGGGAAATCAATCATGTAATCCTGCCTTCCGTGCGACCTGTTCATACGGCGATATTCGCCTTCTGTGGAATGATAGTAAGTTAGATTTGTATTACTGCTTGTTCATATATGTACAGTGTGACTGCTTCATCGTAGTCGAGCGTCTCGTCCCTTTCACCCGTGACCTTAGGCAAGTAAATTCCCTCTGACCCCTGATGCGATCTGATTGGATCATATTCCGCGAGCTGCGACGCCTAAAATCTCTCACCCTAAACGAGACTGTCTGATTACCGGCTTGTACTTTTTGTAATGCTCTTGTTGTTAAGTTCAGTCCATCCGAATGTTGATGATACTCCTGTCACACAGTCGAAGTTCACTGGGCCTGTTTGAGACTCTCGGTTGTAAAAAAGGTGCGGCTCCTCGCCCGGGGTAGCTGAGCGAGCACCAGGTCCCTTGTTGTGGCTGAACCATTCGATCGATCGATAAATCAACCCGATCGGTCGTGTGATTTTCGGATCGGCGCAGGAGGAGGATAGGTTCCAAATCCGATGCAGCCTGTGTTGGTAGAGAATCACCCCATGAGAATCAGTTGCGGAGCGGTGCGCCATGTAGGAAATTCCGAATGGAAAATGCTTACGCGATTATGACGGGGCCAACGCTTAACTCGTCTAAGATGCACGCACCATTTTTCGAAGCGGGTTCAGTAAACAGATAATCATAATAAACTTCAAACTTGTCTTACTAACGGACAACAAT